GCTGCTGGCCGTGTGTGTGTGTGCCACTGCTGTCCCCTACGGCCTGGCTGCTCTGGCTGCTGTCACCTGGGCTCCCCCGGGCTCAGCAGCCTCACAGCCAGCGGTGGGTGACACTCTGGGGACAGTCTGTGGGGACCTGCTCTCCTCGGGCTGCGTCCAAGGGATCCAGGGAGTTGTGACTGCTGAGGGACAGAGCCTGGGGACACAGACACCTAGGACCTCCCTGCAGGGACAGCCTGGCTCTGGGGACAGGGATGGGCTCAGGCTGAGCACAGCAATGGTTGTTACACTGTCCCCCACACCGTGGCCTGGCAAAAGGGTGCCTGCTGCCTCAGCTCGGCCCTTCCAGCCTGAGGGTGTCCCCAGCCCTGGTTCTTGGGGTTACCATGTTCAGGGTGGCCTCCACAGAGCAGGACCAGGTGGTGCCACACAGATGCTGGCAGTGAGTGCAGCTGGTGGCCTGGGGCAGCCAGCGGGCACAGCAGAGCCCCAGAGCCCACAGAGAGACTCTGAGGCCACCTCCAGAGCTGGGAGTGAGACAGCTGCTGGGCTCCCTGCCACCTCCCAGCTATGGCTGCACCCTCCTGCCCTCCCCACAGCTGCTGCTGGCCCCTCTGCAGGGGCTGCAGTGACTCAGGTGCCACCCACCCAACTGGTGCCATTCCGAGGGGCAGCTGTGGGGTCTCAGCTCCCACCCGATGTCTCCACATGGGCACCAATGGGTGCTGGCTCCTGGAGCCCTAGCCCAGCAGAGCAGGTGGTGGCCTCTGCTCTGCCAGCACAGGGAACACCCAACTGGACCCAGCTGAGCCCTGGCACGCTCGGGGTGTCCCCTGCCCTGGCACCAGAGGGGCTCTGGGGCACTGATGGCACTGCCCTGCCTGGGGCAGCTGCTCCAGGAAATGGCTCTGGACTCCTGGATGCTGTCCTGGTATCACTTCCTGCCACTGCAGCAGCTCCTGCTGCCCACCATCAGCACCTGCTGGCTTCTTCCCTTCCCACGGAGGCATTTGGGACTCCTGCTGTCACCCTGGGGACACAGAGTGAGTGGCCTTGTCCCCCTGCACAGCCCAGGGCTCCCAGCCCTGCAGGTCCCACCGTGACTGGGATGAGCTCCACAGCCCCTGGTGCCACCCCAGAGCTTGGACTGACGTTTGTGACAGGAGAATCCAGGCCCAGCCAGGCCAGGACAGCAGCAGTGGGATCTGTTCCCACTGCAGCAGGACCTCCAGGGCCCAGCCCTGCCAGCCCAGGCTCTGTGCCTGCCCCCAGCTCCACAGAGCCAGCTCTGCACCTCACTGCCACCAGCAGCACTGTGACCTCTCCATCCTGCCTGCTGAGCTCTCCTGGGGCTGGGCATGCAGCCAGCTCCCTGCCCAGCTCCCAGAGCCTGGCTGTGCCCTCAGCACTGACCCTCCATGCCCATGCCGTGCCCAGTGGCTCCAGCGCTTCCCAGAACTCCTCCACAGCCTCAGAGCAGCTCCCTGCAGCCACCAGAGCGGCCTCCAGCTCATCTCAGCTGATGACAATGGGCACGCCTGGCTCCACAGGGACAAACCCCCCTGCATGCCACCTCTGTAGCCTGCCCTTGCCCACCCAGCCTGTGCACGTGCTGCCCCTGCAGTTCCGGCTGCTGGGCATTGCCTACGCCCCAGCCCTGGGCAGCAGGAATTCCCTCAGCTACCGGCGGCTGGAGGGAGATGTGACACTCATGGTGGGTGCTGCGGGTGCCTGGGACACGTTTGGCACTGTTGGGTGTGGGGTGGTGCCAAGGCTTGATGGGGGGAGCAGCCTGAGTGCTGCACCAGCCCTTGGCTGGTTGGGTGCCCACCTGAGAGCGGTGAGGGTGGGCAAAGCCCTGGCACTGCTCCACTGGAGCTTGGTTTGAGCTGGGACTGGGCTCCCCTCAGCCCTGGCAGCCTGCAGGGCCCTGGCACAGGGCATTATTGCTGGGGCATGCCCTGCCAGGATGGGGATGGCTGCTCTGGGTATCCCAGCTCATCCCCAGCATGCCCAGAGGGCTGGCACTCCCCTGGGCAGCCTGAGCTGAATTCCCTCTATTTATTGTCCACCTGCTCCTGCACTTCCCCTTCACATGGGGGAGCTTGGAAAACCTCCTCAGTTAATTACCAGGTGCTTCTTCCTTCCAGCTCAACCAGATGCTGTCCAGCTACGAGAGCTTCCTGCAGGCGAATGTCCTGGAGTTCATGTGAGTGTGCAGCTGCTCTGGAGGGCTGGGTTTGTAGCAGCAGTGGCCTCTGGTGGCCACCCTGGCCTTAAGGAGAGTCCTGAGTAGGAGAGCAGCTTGTTTCACTTTGATAGAGACTGGGAAAGGTGCATTCCAGAGGAATGGCTGCAGCCATAAACACCACGGGTGATTTGTTTTTCCTTTGGCTCCCTGAAGGCTGGGAGGTGGTTGTTGCAGTGAATGGCTGATAAGGGCCAAAACCTTGTGTGCTTTAATGAATGTTTGGTGGTGTGAGCTATTTTGTCTTTCCACTTACACATTCATGAGATTTTCTTCAATCTTTCCCATGCTAGAAACATAAATATTGGAGAGTGTGCAATAAAGATGGACCCTGCTGGTAGAACCAGCGACCTCTGTTTTTTTCCAAGCTGCTGCAGCTTTGGCTTGGAGGGAATTGTTTGCCCACAAAATGCTCCAGACAGGAGCATTGAGGGGCTTCACTCCCTCCCTGGTGTTACCATCCCGAGGGATCCCTGTCTGAATTTCTGGATAAATGCACCTGGAAAAAAAAACCAAAAAAAAAGCAGTAACTGTGCTGCCCACTGTGCCCTGTCCCTCCAGGAACGGCTCCGTGGTGGTGAGAGGGGAGGCTCTGTTCCGGGGGGATGCTCCTGCTCCCACCAACTCCCACCTGATCCGCACTGTGGTCACAGAGGCGAGCAAGGGGAGGAGCATGTTCAGCTGGCAGCTGGAGCCCCAGTCCATCCAGTCTGCGGGTGAGTGCTGAAGGTCTTCCCACAGCAGGGCTGCTGCTGCCAGGTGCCCTCCTTGTGCCTCTCTCCAAGCCAAAACCCGTGCAGTTTGGGTTCCAGGCTTTTCCCTCACTGAACATCCCTGTGTAAAGCCTTTCTAAGGGTATGGAGGGTGGTGGAGGGCACATCTGTAGCAGCTGGATCTGTGTGGGCCAGGGCTTCTGCTCAGCTCCCTGGCCTCCCCTCTTTGCCCCAGCTCTGCTGGGAAATGGTTCATCCCAACCTTTCCCACATCCAAAGGGATCCCTCCTCACTCAGCTGCCCTGCTGCTTTCTGCCTTTGCTGTGTGGCCGTGGGTGAGCTCTGGGCTGAACCCCAAGGAAAGCTGCAGGAACAGGTCTGAGTGTAACTCTTCCCAACTCCCTTAGGCTTCAGCCTGGAGAACCTGGACCCAGAGAAGCTGTCCATCTCCTTCACTGGCTCCCAGCTTGGGGTGGACAGGATGGATCTTCTGGAGAAGCTGGTCCAAGAGGTATGCCAAGCCTTGGGGGCTCTTCCAAAGGGTGATGCTGAGGGAATGGGCGCGGCCTGGGTGCTGGATTAACCTGTGCTAAACAGGGCAAGGTGTGAACTGTTGTCTTCTCCCTGCCCAGATTACTGCATCTGTCAGTGGCCTCTACAACGTGAGGAACTTCACCATCACCCAGCTCAGGTATGGGGTGTAGCTACTCCTCTGCCAACCTCTTAATTTCATTGCCTTCACTCTCTCCTGTGCCCTCTGCAGCTCATCAGCTGTGCTGCAAGGATGGAGGGGAGGGGAAAAGCTGGCAGGGGATGTGCAGCTGGAGCAAACTGTATTTGAGCCCCTTCTGTGGGGGTCTCAGGGGAAAACCTCCAGTCGAGGTGCTGGGGCTGGGTCCCAACCCTCCTGCCTTGCTCAGAGCTCTTCTCTCCCCTCAGGAACCTGGGTGCGAACACGGAGATCACTGGAGACCTCTACCTAGACACAGTTGTCCATGCTGACGTTGAGGAGGTTCTGGAAGCCCTGACTGCGCTCTCAGACCTCTCCAAGGACCTGAGCTCCATCTCGGTGGAGGGTAAGGATGGTCCCTGTGTGTGCTGTGGGCAGGGTGGCTGCCAAATGTGCTCAGCCAGGGCTTGTTTCTTGCTCCTTCAGGGTCCAAGCTGGATCTGCTCGTGTACCCTCTGTCCTTTGTCATCACCAACAGACCCTTCAGCCAGAAGCTTCGGGATCCTCTCTCTGAAGAGCACCACAATCTTTCCAGGGAACTTGGTGATGTGGTAGGAATGGGGCTGGTGGGGTTGTGGTCCTCCCAGTGGGGTGAGAAGGGAGGGAGAGGGGCTGCTTTGGGGTGTCCAAAGTGCCCCAAAAGCTGACAGAGAGCTGAGCACACCCTTTCTTCCAGGTGGCCAGAGCCCTGAGGGATTACCCATCCTTCCTGACAGCCATCATCAAAGAGTTCCTGTGAGTGGGAGCAGGGGTGTTCTGCTGGGCAGGGAGGGCTCCCTTCAGACATCAGCCAGCAGCTCATGGCTGACAGCTGCAGAAGGATCTGCAGAGGAAGCTGAGGTCAAGCATTCAGCCATTGCAGCTGTGGTGACTTGCTGGGCCTCCAGGGATGTCCCTTCCATCCCAGGGCTCCCTGAGTGCACAGATCTCCTCCTGCTGAGCAAAACCCTCTGGGAGGAGGCTGGGAGTGCCCACGCATCCCTCTGTGGGGTCATGGTGGGGCTGGCAGCTGCTGGAGCTGTTCCCAACCCTGTCTGCAGGCCTGGCTCCTTGCTCTGCCATGGGAACATGATCTTCCAGCACCCTGCTCCAACCAGCATGCAAGTGCTGAAGACCCTCGTGCACTCGGTGGGGCCAAACCAGGCTCTGGCTGGCTCTGATATCCATGTGGATCCATTCTCTCTTGCTGTGGGAGGTAAGCTCCCCTCTGGCACCTGGGTACCCGGGAAAATGACTGACATGATGACTGAAGAATGATTTCTGGTTTTCACTGGCAAAGTGATATCCACGGATACAGAAATCACTGACAAAAGAGATTTGTCATTCTAAGTAGATGAGGACGATCTTGTGATCCTTCATGGCGGCTGTTTTAGAGTTGTTGTAGGTTTGTCTTTGGAGATAAAGTGGTGTGTGTTTAAGCCTTTAGGGACAGCAATTATTTCAGCATCAATTTAAGGATTTTTTTCACCCAGTGGGCAGGGGGATAACAAAGCTCCAGAGCAAAGGGTTACAGAATCATGGGGTCATCAAATTTGCAAGAGACCTTGAAGCACATCTAGTCCAACCATGAATTGAGCACCACCATAGTCACCCCTAAACCATATCTCCAAGTGCCACATCCAGATTCCAAGCTCCACACCTGCACTGGGAGCAGGGTGGATCCACAGCTGACCCCATCCTGATCCCCTGTGTGAGGAGAGGCTCAGGTGTCTTGGCTGCTGAGCTGAGCAGGCAGTGACATTTAGTGACAGTTGTGCCCTTTGCATCTGCATGGCCTGGGACATTGGGGATGGGGACCTTGTGCTGCAGGCTGCTGTGGGCTGGGAGGAGAAGGCATGGAGGGGGTGGAACAGGAGTTCATAAATCCCCTGTGTTCATCCTGGGGCAGTGGGTGGCTGGCAGCCCGAGGGGCAGAGCAGCTTCTCCAGGCTCTCAATACTCTGTTCTGCTCCAGAGGACACCCTGGATCCTCCCAGGCCCCAGCCAGGATTCCCAGCCTATGGAGTGGTCTTGGTGGTCATCGGTGGTCTTTGCATCGTGGCAGCACCCATCGTGCTCATGGTGAGGGCTGGTTCTGTCGGCTGGGCTGGGGGGCTCTGTGGGGCTGCAGTGCCTGCAGTGCCTGTGCTCTCCTCCCCAGTGCCTGGGCACCAAGAGGCTGGGCTGGCAGGCTGGAGGAGCCCTTTGGGACAGGAGAGACCCTGAAGTGGGGGTGCAGACGTTGGAAATGGATAACCAGGGCTTCTGGACAGAGGTGAGTGGCCTTTGCATCCTTTGCATTATCTTTTGTGCCTGGGAGCTGGTGTGTCTGCAGATCACAGGCTCTCCTGTTAGCTGGTGAGGATCTCTGGGGCTGGAGAAACCTGTGGGGAGCTGGAGGGCAGGGACCCTCACTCCTGCCTTCACTGGAGGGGTTTCAAGTGACTTCTTCCCTCTCCCCTGCAGGACTCTGAGGATGGTCACTTTGAGTGGCAAAGCATTTCTGCCTTTGAGTGGCAAAGCACTTCTGCCTGAGGAGAGAAGCAGAATCTGCAGCTGGGGGGAGCCTGGAGAGGGGCTGTGTGTGGGAAGGAGATGCCGAGAAGCTCTCCCTGACCTTGTGACAGCAGCTGCCAGGTGCTCCCTGAGCAGAATGCAGACTCAGGTGTGTTGAGGAATCATTTTGTGAATTTTGTATCTTAAATAAACTGTTTGTAGACCGTGAAACTCAGCTGTGAAGGATGTGTGTCTGGTGTGGGGGTGGTGTTGAACAAACCTCCCTCCTGGGCTCCCAGTACCACCCCAGCCATGTGCTGGTGCCTGCGAGCTGGGCTTGGTCCTCTCAGCTCTGGGGTAACAGCCCTAGTGCTGGGGAGTTAAAAAAAGCAATTTTTTAACCCATCAATCTCCCACTCCCCTCCAAATGGCTTCTGAGTCAAAGAAACCATCTCTGTTTTGGCTCTGTTGGATAATTTGGGGGATTGCCTGATGATTTGAGGAGTGGAGAGGGGTTCTCTGGTCCTTAGGAGCAAACCCAAGGTCATTTTGGAGGGCTGCTGTGTTTGAAACCAGGGAAGCTGTGGGGTTTGTGGCAGCAGGTGACCTTTAAATGCCACCTCTCCCTGTCACCAGGGCATCAGTTGAGTAGCTCATCTCTCCTGAACCTAAAACATGACTTTATGGGGAAGCAAATCAAAGAGAAGAAGTGGTATGTGAGGTCATTGGTTGGAGACAGGGATGGCACAAATTCTCAGAGATCCATGTGACATGTGAAATTGGGTAATTAGGAATCTCTGGAATAGTGAACCATCATCCCAGAGTCTGCAAACAGCTGACAAACCTCAATGTAGTGAGGGATTGGATAATTATTTCTGGATAATAATTCCCAAGCTCACTCTAGAAATAGGTTCAGCTGTAACATATCAAGGGTCAAATTGCCAAGTTAAAGTGACTTGAATGTAGTTTTGATGCAGAAAACATCTGGGTTTATTGGCAAATTCTCCATCCAGGTAGACCCAAGCCATGCCACCACCCAGGCTCCAATTGGGAGGGAATTCCCTAAACACAGTTTAAAACAAGGCTCCTAAAAATAGCAGTTATGAGTAAAGGCCTTGGGGTTAAAGACTAATCAAACCACCTAGTTCTGGCATCACTCTGAAATTTCCTTCAGGATAAAGATGCTTCAAACACAGCAAACTGCTGGAATACTTCTGAACTGCTAGTCTTGTGGTTTTTCCCAGTTATTATTACAGAGGAGGCTTTCAACAAAGCTCAGATGTCTTTTCTTGCAACTCTGAAAAATGCTTAAAATTGAGACAGCATTGGGTCAAACCATAGAGCCAGTGCAGGGACCAGCCAGAGAGCTAACCTGATCTAAGAGATGCATAAACAGCTAGAGAACAAAGAAGGATCCTGAAACCACATGTGTGTTTTAGATAATTACACAAAGAGATGTTAAAGCATAGAAGAAACCAGCTATAAGTACGCTAACAACATCTTATGAACAATGCCTATTATTGAATTGGAAAATTCACATCCTGTAATCAATAAATCAACAATAACCCTCTCAGGAAGTTGAGATAATGCCTTTCTAAGCAGTTGTCTACCTATGACAGGAAAATAAAGGAAAATGCTAACACAGCTTACAACCAATAACAGCCATTATATAAAATCATCACTGACTCTTACTGTGTTATCTCTGGAAGACAAAACAGCAATTGGAACAAAGATTGTAACGAGCAGTAGAATCTTTGACAAAATCAAAGGTGAACACACTCTGTGTTCTTTATCCACAAACAGGTGTTTATCAGTGTTCCATCTCAGCTGTTTTAGTTGGATTTGTCTTACCTCTTAAAAGAAAACAACTATATATCTTACAATGTAGAAAATATTTAACTGTCTTAGATTGCAATGCAAGGTGTAACCAGATGTATTCTATTACCATCTGTTAAAACCAGGTGGGGCAGTGTTCTTTATCTCTTCCATGACCCATCCTCCCACCAGGGAGATATCTTCTGTTAATGAGCCATTACCACTGCCCAACTGATAAAATTCCATCATCCCATGGTGAGATGCTCTGCCCAGGGGAGGAGCCAAGCATTCCTACCTGGATACAATCTGGGACTTCAAACACCACAGGCAGCCTTTTCCACTGGATTCCCAGAGGAAGACCAGACCCTTCTACTTCACCAGTGGACCTTCAGAGGAAAGTTCCCTGATTCTGCAGGATCCCTGCTTACACAGAACCACAGCTGGCACTGCAGGAGGGCTGCAGCCACCATTTAATGGGACTGTGCCACCACTCTGACCCACAGCGTGTTGGGTTGTATTCTGACTTTGTCTGCTTGAGCAGAATTTTTTTTTGTGACTTAATAATTTCTAAACTCTAAAGAACCGCTGCAGATAAAATACAAGGTTATAGGACTTAGTTAAGAACTTTAAACTAATTGCTGCTAATGATCTTGGGAGAAGCAGAGATCCGCAGGCTGGGCGTGGGGCAGAGCGGATGCTGTACATGGTCAAGATGGCACTCACCAGTTTTTTGCCAGCTCCAACCCAGCTGTCCCAGGATCAGCTAGAACTAGAAGAAAGAGCAGGAGCTCAGGGATCCAGGCAGACTGCTCTGATCTCCTCACAAAGGGAACTTCCCCACTATGGTTACCGGAAAGGATGGATACCACAGGCCCTAGAGGATTTTGGAGATGGGGGTGCCCTCCCAGAAATTCATGTGGCCCAATATCCATTGGATATGGGCCAAAAGAAGAAAATTTCCAATGCTTTGGCTCTTCAGGTGGATGCAGAAGGAAAAAAAAAATACCATGCAATTGCTCGACAAAGACAGTCAAAGGACAAGGTTATTTACAGCAAGTACACAGATCTTGTGCCAAAAGAGGTCATGAATGTGGGTCATCCTGAACTGCAAAGACCAGATGAGAACGCAGTTAGAGAGATAACAAAGAAGACAAGAGAAGCCTTTGAAGTGGCAAGGATATGGCCCAAAACATCTACAGGCCAAGTAAAAATATGGATAAGAACATATATGGGGATGATCTAGAGGCTCGAATAAAGACCAGCAGGTTTGTTCCTGACAAAGGGTTTTCCAACTTGGATCGTAACAGCAGTGGCAGGAGCAGAGATGGACCAGTGCAATTTGAGGAGGATCCATTTAGTTTGGACAGGTTTCTGGAAGAAGCCAAGCAACACGGTGGTTCTAAACGGCCAAAGGAGGAGGGGAAAAGCAATAAAAACCAAACGCTAAAAACTGCACACCAGCATGAAGTTGGCTGAGCTCTGGAAGCTGCTCCTGTCCCCTCAGTCTGCCTCAGGCACCCAGGGCTGCGCCCCCTCACCCAACCCCACCTTCCCTCCTGCAGCTTCTTTCTCCTCCTTATCCTCTCGCTCCAGTGGCCCCTCCACACAGCCAGGGGGTCTCTCTGTGTCCCCAGCTTCCACCAGTCTCTTCTTGAAGCTAAGGTCCAGCACCATGTCCTTAGGGGGTGGTAACTCCTTGCTGCCCACCCTGTCAGGGCTGCCCTCCTGAGACTCCAGCTCTTGGGGCACAGGCTTTGGCTTTTTAGGGACGCTCCTGTAACAGCTTTCCCCTTGGCTCTGCACGGCATCACTGCCCGACCTCGGGCTGGGCACCACCGAGACGTCTCTGAGGGCAGCAGGCTCCTGGCTGCCAGCCGTGCTTTGGGGTGAGGAGCGCTCCCACAGGTGCTTCCTGCAGAACAGGATGGGGTCTGTGCCCTTGGCCTTCTCCAGGTACTCCTGGTAAGGTGCCAGGCTGAAGACGTTGTGGATCACAGGCATTGGTGGGGAGGATGACAAAGCCTTGGTGTCCCTCAGGTCCTCCAGCCCTTCCAGACCTAATGGAGAAGGGCAGATGAGCTCCTTGGCTGGATCCGTGACCTTGCAGGCATCTCCTTGTCCTGGTCCCCCATGGGGGCTGTCCTGATGGGCAGGGCTGCTGTTCCTCCCTGCGTACAGGGGTGTGACTGGTATAGCTGGTCTAAAGCTACACAGATAATTTGGCCTATCAGACACCAACTCGACTAGCCCAGCTCATTAGAAGATAGGATTAAACAAGTCCCCGAGTGTACTAATGATAGGCTGGACTTAAGTTCAAACGGGGGACCTCAGCCAATTGTTTTAAATCATGGATGCTCTCCTATCCTCAGCTAGTGAGCTGCACTGAGGTAAGATCTTTAGCCAACCATGTTTATATGAACCAGGGATTTGAAACCCCTATAAAAAGACATTCAGACAATAATCCTTGGCTCTTGCTGCATGAGCACTGTGTGTGCCTGTAGCATTCCTGTCTCCAGCACCCAAGCAACATTTGGTGCCCTGTGTGAGGACAAGAAGCCGCTGCAGTGTTGCAGAGAGACAGGGCAGTGGAGATTGCTGCCCGGCACCTGGGTGGGCTGAGAGAAGCTACAGGCAGTGGAAAGAGCTGCTGGCAGCTGCAGGACACCAGAGAGCTGTGGACAGTAGAGACAGCCATGGGCAGAAGGGACCTTGTCTTAGACTGCAATGCAAGATGTAACCAGATGTATTCTATTACATCTGATAAAACCAGATGTATTCTATTACATCTGATAAAACCAGGTGGGGCAGTGTTCTTTATCTCTTCCATGACCCATCCTCCCTCCTGGAGATATCTTCTGTTAATGGGCCATTTGAGTGTCACTGCCTGACTGATAAAATTCCATCTTCCCATTGTGAGATGCTCCACCCAGGGGGAGGAGCCAAGCATTTCTTCCAGGATATAATCTGGGACTTCAAACATCACAGGCAGCCTTTTCCACTGGATTCCCAGAGGAAGACCAGACCCTTCTACTTCACCAGTAGATCTTCAGAGGAAAACTCCCCTCTTCTGCAGGATCTTGCCTTCTGGAAGTAGACAGCAGTCTTCCAAGCCAAGACAGTGCGGTGGGCAGCAGAGGAAGCTGCAGGCAGGCAGAGAACCCTGCGGGCAGCGGAGTGCTCTGCCTGAAGTGGAGAGTGTGGCAACGAACAGCAGGGAAAGCCTCGTGGATCCAAACACCTTTGTGATTTACAGACACCACTGGGATAAATGGGAGCGTGGGCATCAGTGCCAGAAGACCCTACACTCCAGGTATGGACACTTATTTTAACAAGAAGAGGGATTAAACATGATAAACAGGCTTTACTGGCCTTACTAAAGTGGTGTGGGAGCCACGGACTGGACGT